CACACACACACACACACACACACACACACACACACACACACACACAGATGTGAGATTGTATCAACTGTAGGGGAATGTGTGACCTGCAGTAGAGAAACTCTGAGTCTGATGACACTGTGTCAGGGTAACAAACAAAACCAGACCAAACCGGGTCAAGATGGTACCTTTTCAGCCACGTTGTGAGGCTCGTCATGATCATCATGTGACATCCAGTCCTGCCAAGCTTTTAGAAGGACCAGCTGAACTTTGAGTCACTTTTGAACCATGAACCAACACCCATTACTTTAGAAACGCAAAGTTTTAGTTTTTCTCGTTTTTATTCCTCAGATCTCAGCTGTGAGGAAACTGATTGTAGCACCAAGGCTTTTGACTGCCACTCAGGAGTCGGCCCGTGGCCCAGGTTCTGTTTGCTTTGAGCAGAGAGCCGCCTCGATGTGGYCYAAATCATCATATTAACAACAAGTACATTTTATTTTGTTCCATTTCAAACACACCAGACACATGAAACTCGAAGGAAAAGTACTGAAGAATGTACCGGACCATACAGCAGGGTGACYCTGAAGAGACAGCATGACAGCAGAGGCTAAAGGTGGATAATGTTAGCACACACAGTAAACTATTGGTAGCTAATATTAGCTGATGGTAACCTAATCGTAGCTAATATTAGCTAATGGTAGCTAATGTTAGCGCACAGTGAGGTAATGCTAGATAATGTTAGCTCACTGCAAACTAATGGTAGCTAATATTAGCTAATGATAGTGCACAGTAAGCTAATGCTAGATAATGTTAGCTCACGGTAAGCTAATGGTAGCTAATATTAGCTAATGGTAGCGCATTGTAAGCTAATGCTAGATAATTTTAGCTCACGGTAAGCTAATGTCAGCTAATACTAGCTCACAGTAAGCTAATGGTAGTTAATGTTAGCTCACTGTAAACTAATGGTAGCTAATATTWGCTAATAGTAAGCTAATGGTAGCTAATTATAATTTGATGGTAGCTAATGTTAGTGCATGGTAAGCTTATGCTAGATAATATTAGCTCACAGGAAACTAATGTCAGCTAATATTAGCTCACGGTAAGCTAATGGTAGTTAATGTTAGCTCACTGTAAGCTGACGGTAGTTAACGTTAGCTCACGGTAAGCTAATGTCAGCTAATATGAGCTCACAGTAAGCTAATGGCAGCTAATATTAGCTAATGGCAGCTAATATTAGCTCACAGTAAGCTAATGCTAGATAATATTAGCTAATGGTAGCTAATTTTATCACGTTACAGCTGTTTAGTTAAACCCGTGTTAAAATGTTAGTCTTTGCAAACGATTATCATAAAACTATTTTCTTCCGTGTGACGTTTTACTCGGTATCAGAATCGGGCTCGACTCCAGGGTGGGGCCAGGTGACCCACATCTGTGTTTGATGAACTCCTTGTTGTCTTCTGTCTGTAAGGTGAACCTCTCCTTGGCTGGAAGTCTCTGATCCGACATGAAAACATGAAGAAGACACAGGCGGGGATGAGACACGTCTTTAATTACAGCTCTGCAGACGAGGCGAGGAACGGAAAAAGTCCATCAGCTTCAGAACATCTGTTGTCTTCAGCCTCCTGTGTTTAAAGACGATGACCCAGACACGAGGAGAGCAGAGGACACAGGTGGGACCAGGTAAACACAGGTGGGACCAGGTAAACAAGTCAATAAAAGTAGGCGGCTCCTCCCACTTAGAGACAGGAAGTAGCGTACCAACACACCGCAGAGATCCAGACCTCTACCTCCTCCAGATCTTCAGGGAGGACTACYCGGTGTCCCAGACCAGCATGTCCCCTGGGGTCTCCTCCCAGTGGGACATGTCCAGAACTTTACCAGATGAACKWATCCTCTTCACAAAGTTCAYTTAAAAACTTAATATTTCAGTCWYTCAGTTTTACTGTTCTGTATTTCTGAGGTTCTTCTCCGTCTTGTGAAAGAAGGTTTCAGGTCTGGCTGAGTAATCTCCTAATGAGTGTGGCTCGTGAGCAGACGGATGGTTAACGTTGGTGAACACAGTGTTCAGAGAGGAGGTAATTGTTGGCTCTTATTGCTTAATCCTGCCTCAGGATTCTGTTTTCATGACATGTTGGTGTGCGGGAACCTGGAACCTTCTCTCCATCGGAAACAGCTGTACTTCTGAAACAAAGAGTTAAAAATATGTTGATTTTTCCCAACTAATCCAAAACTAGGATGCCTCGAATGCTTTAATAAAAACACCAGAGGTAACGTTGTTGTTTAGATGTTTGTTTGTTTCCAAGCAGACAACAAAACTGAGTCAAAATATAAATGTGTGGCAGCATCACAAAGGTGGACTGTTATTGTTCACGACTGGGGAGAATACCAAAACGATAGCAAAAATAATGTCTAAAATAAGCAAAACAAGCTAAAATGAACAAAACAGTAGCTAAAATAGTAGCTATACAATTGTTAAAATAAGCAAAACATAAGCTAAAATGTACAAAACAGTAGCTAAAATATCAAAGCAATAGCTAATATGAAAAACGATGTAAAATGAACAAAACAGTAGCGAAAATTAGCAAAATGTAAGCTAAAATGTATAAAATGAACTAAACGGTAGCTAAAATAAGCAAAACAAGCTAGAATAAGCAAAACATAATGATCCAGGACATTTTGATTCTTCTCAGTCCTGTTGAAAACCTGCTGCTGTTTGGTGTCATTGGCCCAGTGTGGGCTGAGCATCAGCATTAGATGAGCTGGAGGTCCAGGTCTCTCAGGTCCTGGACCTGGACCATCAGCTCTCCACCAGGTCAGAAAGGTCCAGGAGGATCTACAGTCCAGAAAAACAGAGTGATGAAGAAGAGAGTCCAGCAGCATGGAGAAACAGTTCAATTGAGTGGTGCTGAGACCAGCTGTCTGGTTTGGAGACAGAGACATGGACACAAAGACAGGAGACAGAAAGACAGGAGACAGAAAGACAGGAGACAGAAAGACAGGAGACACAAAGACAGGAGACAGAAAGACAGACAGAAAGACAGGAGACACAAAGACAGGAGACGAGGTTATTTAACATCTTCAGTCACTCTGACAAATCCATGAATCAGATTCAGGAGAAACACTTCAACCTGTAATCACCTGCAGAGCTACATCCATCCATCATCCATCCATCCATCCATCCATCCACCCATCATCCATCCATCCATCATCCATCCATCCATCATCCATCCATCCATCCAATATCCATCCATTTCTCCCTGCCTCCATCCATCCATCCATCCATCCAGTATCCATCCATCCATTCATCCATTTCTCCCTGCCTCCATCCATCCATCCATCCATCCATCCATCTATCATCCATCCATCATCCATCCATCATCAATCCATCCACCCATCCATCATCCATCCAATATCCATCCATCCATTTTTCCCTGCCTCCGTCCATCCATCAATCCATCCATCCATCTATCCATCATCCATCTTCCTTCAGCTCAGGACAAAGTGGCTCTGATCCTGATCCTGATGGTTCATGTTGTTGTCCTCTTCATCCATCTATGACCTCCTGAGTCCTGGTCCTGGAGGACCACTATCCTGAAGGGTTTTTTTTTTGTTTTTTTTTTTTGGTTCTACAGGAAACATCTAAAACACAGAGGATCGCGGCCCCCCAGGACCAGGATTGGACACCCCTGATATTGCAGACCTGTGAGACTCTGAGTTGCTTCTTCCTAAAACCTGGTGAGAACTCAACAAATTAAAKCCAACAGATCCAACCAGAACCAACCAGGAAACTCAAATGTTTGAGAGTTTTTCTAAAGTCCATTAGTCTGAATAAAGACAGGTTAAACTCATGTTTATATTTTATTTCATGTTTCTGTCAGGTCTGATGGTGAGAACCTCGTTTCTGAACGCTCCTTCGTTAGTCCTCCCCTCCCACACMCATGATTTCGTGAGAAGAGTCATCAGGGCAGAGCTGCAACAATAAGTCCTCTGCAGCTCATCTTACTGCCTGTTCTCTTCTGCACACAGAGCCTTCAGTCAGCTTTCATTAAGCACACAGAGGATGCTGCTAACAGGAAAAAAATTAATATAAATGCATGATTTAAACGAGCAGAAATGACACGTAGGAGCTTTTACACTTGTGTTTGAGAAGSGTAACGATTGTGCAGCTGCAGCCTGGTCTGTCCTGTTTGGGTTGTTTTATTCAGCCTGAAACACAAAGTCAGGTTGTGAAGAAGAATGTAAACTACAGACAGAGTTCGTGCCAAGAAAGAAAGCCTGAGAAAGAAGGCAAACTTTCATGAATGGAGAGAGTCGTTCTCACACATCATTCATAAACTTCCTGCTGAGTCTGAGCTCTGCACCAAAGCTGCGTTTGACTTTCCTCAGTCCAAAACTCTGCGTGTTTCTCTTATCCCAGCCTGTGGGACACGTCACGGCCCTGATGAGACACATACTGTAGAATAGAATAGAAACAGCCTTTATTGTCCCGTGGCAGGGAAATTTAGGTGCAACAGCAGCAGATGGGGGGGGGGGGGGTCAAATTGAGACGAACTCAATCGTTAAGTCCAGGAAAAAGATGTACAATTACCACTGGTCATTATTTATGTAATGATTGAGGTAGAGTTGTTTGATGTTCAAATACAAACGGATATTTATCYAGGTTGTTGGGAACAGTGGTTGTAGAGTCTAACAACTGATGGGAGGAAGGATCTGRGRTAACGCTCCTTTGTGCATTTAGGAGCAGTCTGTCACTYAAGGAGCTCTGCAGATCAGCTACAGTTCCATGCATTGGAATGATCCAGAGCATCATGACATCATGTTTTTCCAGAYATGTAAAGTAACTAATTACAAATATTTTGTTACTGTACTTAAGTAGAATTTTTGGGTATCTGTACTTTACTTGAGTAATTATTTTTCAGTCTACTTTTTACTTCTA